GTTGTTCTTCACGAAAAAAAGAAGAAGAGAGTATTGGTGGCTCCAGCAAAATTCACAAATTTCAGAAGAAATTATGAATTTTCCGCTTCAAGGATTAAGCTGTTTAGATCAGCGAAAATTTTACTAATTAGATGTCAAGTTTTGTTGACCAATTGACAAAAGATGAAAACCGTATAATTTAACCAATCACACGTGATGTTGTAATGCGCAATTTGGACCGTCACGGAAAGAGACTCGAGAGCGTTGCGCAAGTTGTAGCCTTGCACACGTGATGTTGGCTTTTGTCCCCATCACTTCTAAGGAGGTCGATTTCGTCAATAAAATTGCCGGGAATCTCCCGGGGTAGTACCCCAGGATGTCTATTGCCATGCATGGGGATGCCTCCCACTTTTTGACATAGGGAACGTTGAATTTTGTTGACCGCTTTAAGCCTTCGTTTATTAAGAAATAAATCAAGAAAAAAAGTTCATAATTTTGAATACACTTAATTTTTCTTGTATCATGTATACTTAATATTTGAAAATTGAACTAGTTTGAATTAGATATGCATAATAAGCTCTTGTATTCATTTGATTTTACAATCTTTTCGGAGATTGTTTTCTCCCATTGATGTTCATATAATTACTATTGATGTGCGTTCGATTTGGTTTATGATTCTACTTTCAACATCTTTTACCCAAAAGTCTTGAGATTAGTACAATGAGGGAAGAAAGTGCTTGCATGAGTGTAACAAACACACGGCACGTTTAGGTTTGGACTCATGCTTTGCTTCATTTATGGTATTTCATCGACTAAGAGTTATCCGTGTAAAGCAAGCTTTTTTGACTTCAAGAAAACATTATCATTACGTGCAAAACAAGTTAGTCTTACCCTATCTGCACGTTTAGTTGACTAGAAGATAGTCTGTGTTTTTTGTCCAAATTAGGATCACGGACCACCTCTAGCTTTTGTCAAAAAAGAAGTCATGATGGAGATAGAGCTAGTCTAAAGTCAATAGAGGAGTCGATGGAATAATGGAGCCGAACAATAGAAGGCTTCCACCGATTTTTATTTTGCTAACGGATGATGTTGAAGGAAAATGGAAAAGAATTCTGGCTTTTTTAATTGAAAAAAAGAAACAAAAAAACCTTAGACTATATTGACATGTTTACCCTAAACTTTTTTTGTATCACCAAAAACTTAAAATTTGTACTCGAATAACACACCTACCCTCCGTTAGGTTCCGTTAAAAATTGTTGTTAAAAGTCTGACGTGAATCCGAAAAATAAAAATAAAAACTAAAAAATAGGAAAAAATTCGAAATTACTGTTCATTGTCTCGCTCAGCCAAAGCTTCTCCGTGCTCGTCCATTGTTGCCCATTGCCGCCTGGACCTCTCCAGCGGCCTTCATCGGCCCTTGCTAGACCCTCACCAGATCTGGCCATGGCGGTCGCGAGCTTGGAGGTCGGATCTGGCTTCGAAGCTTGGAGGGATTAGTTAGTATAGATAGCTCAAGTTATAGCATCCAGTCACAGCAAGCTGATTGTTAAAGAAATTACTCGGCTATCAGCCCTGCAATTTCAAGTCCTAGGTCAAGAAACTTAGTTTCCAATATAAGCTCTGACGCTTCTATGGAGAGACCCCTTTGATAGTGTTGAGCTTCTCGCTTCATTCAGATCACAGAGATCACATTGTCAATCAATTTACCAAGCTAGCCTAGCAATCATCAGGCCCTGGATGAACAAAACTTGGTTCGCTTATAAGCTTCTACACATTAATTTTAACAAAACCAATTTTAATTAATGAAAAACATAGCATAATAGGTAATGTTGATCAATTAAATGGACCGGCTCATCAATAGAGGACGGTCTTGTTGTTGTTCTTTATGAAGAAAATTGGGGATCGAAATAAATATAGCCACACATCTTATCTTTAGTGGTTATAGCAAAATAAGAAATTTCAGAAGACGTTATGAATTTTCTGTTTCAAGATTTAAGCCGTTTAGATTAGGGGAAATATTTCTAAATAGATGTCAAATTTCGTCGGCCAATTGATAGAAGCTGAAAACCATATAATTTAAGCAAATCACACTTTATGTTATAACACACATTTTGGAACATCATGAGAACAGACACAAGAGTTGCGCATGTTTTAGCCTGACCGTGGTCCGCAATAGAAATAATGCAAATCTGATGAAGTATGAATAAAGGAAGAAAGAAGGTTTGAAGATGAGAGTTTGTTCTCGTTGCTTTTAAGAAGGTTCGACTTCGTCAATGAAGTTGCTGGAAGTCTCACGTGGTAGTACCCCACCACCACGTCGATTGTCATGCATGGACAATGCCTCCCACTTTTTTGACATTAGGGAACGTTGAATTCTGTTAACTGATTTAAGCCTTCGTTCATTAAGAAATAAATCAAGAAATTTTTCGTAAATTTGAAGTCACTTACTTTTTCTTGAATCATGTATACTCGATATTTGGAAATTGTACTAGTTCGTATTAAATGTGCATAAACACTTGTAACATGGCCATGACCCAATTACGTAAACGGAGAAGTTTTATCACTCAATTCGTCTCATATTTCTTGATGTCACAATCTTTTCGGCGATTGCGTTCACCCATTGATGCTTGTACAATTAATATTGGTGTGTGTTTGATTTGGTTTAGGATTTTGCTTTCAACGTATTTTATCCGAAAGTCGTGAGATTAGTATAACGATAAAAGAAAGTGCATGTATGTATGGAACAAGCACATGGCACAAATTTAATGTTCTCATTTCATTTTTGGGCTAGCCGTTTGATTTTGGCTCATGATTTACTTTGTCAATGGTATTCAGTAGACTTAGAGTCGATATAGTAAGAGCCGAATATGATTTGTATTGATTTTTTTTTTGCTAACATTAAAAGGAATTCTTTTTTTTTAAATTTAACTAGCATTTTCTTTTATCATACTCAGTATTGCCTATTAACGTTGCTAATGCAAATGATTAAAGATAATATTATCGATTGATAATTTTTATTTTAGGATTACAAGAAACAGTTAATACTATTGGCGCTCATCCGATTTGATTTATGATTCTACTTCAACATATCTTACCCAAAAGTCGTTAGTTTAGTATAACGAGGAAACAAAGTGCTTGCATACGTGGAACAGACACCGGCACGAATTAGATGTCGCGATTTGTTGATCAATTGATAAAAGATGAAAACCATATGAATTATCCAATCACGCGGTGATGTTGTGACCCACGAGGGCGTCGACTCACGATGTAGCCTTTCCGGGGTCCGCAATAGGAATCGTGCAATCTGAAGGTTTGAAGATTAGCTTCTGTTCTCATTACTCTTAAGAAGGTTGCCTTCGTCAATAAAATTGCAGGGATTCTCACGTGGTAGGACCGCACAATGTGTTTTGTCATGTATGGGATGCACTTGCTTTTTCGTTAATTGATTTAACCCTTCGTTGATTAAGAATAAATTAAGAAAATTTCGTAATTTTGAATACACTTAATTTTTCTTGTATCATGCATACTCAATATTGGAAATTGGACCAGTTCATACTAAATATGCATAAACGTTTGATAACACGGCCATGACTTAATTACATAAACGGAGAAGTTTTATCACTCAATTCGTCTTGTATTTGCTTGATCTCACAATCTTTTAGGGATTGTGTTCACATAGTGATTCTTATATATTTAATATCGCTGCGTGCTCAATTTGGTTTAGGATTCTGCTATTGACATGTTGTACCTGACAGTCATGAAATTAGTATAACGATAAAAGAAAGTGCTTCTATGTGTGAAACAGACACACGGCACAAATTTAATGTTCTCATTTCATATTTGGCCTAGCCGTTTGGTTTGGACTCATGATTTACTTTATCAACAGTATTCAGTAGACTTAGAGTCGACACAGTAAAGGAGCCGAATAAGACTTGCAATGATCTTTATTTTGCTAACACATTAAAAGAATTCTAATTTTTTAATTCAACTAGCATTTTCTTTTATCATGTTCAGTATTGCCTATTGCCGTTCATGATGGAAATGATTTTGGTGAAAGATAATATTATTGATTGATTATTTTTATTTTAGGAGTACAAGAAACAGTTAATACTTATTTTCGCATAATATCAAAAATCACCTTAATCTCGCTGCCCAAGATTTTCTTTCTCCCGTATTTATTCTTCAAATCCAACAAAAAATTGCTCTCTATCCATGAAAATTAACTCTCCATTGTTGCATTTAATCTTTCCAAATAACATCTTATCACCTCCTCAGGATTAACTTTATACGCATTTGAACTCATAAATTAACCAATGAATAATTTGTAAATAGAGCACTTACATATCTTATCAACGTTCTCAATACTCCTGCATTCAGCAAGCTTCTTTTCATTTTTATGTATTTATATTTATTTATTAGTGATCTTCTTGTATCATTCTCCGGAAGTAGTTACTTTCGTGGACCATGGTGTTGCTCATTTAGCACGGAAACGATCACAAATGAAAATTAAGGAAGGAAGAGAGATTTTTCGTGGTACGAAGCAGGAGTAGACTTATTCCAAACTTTGAAGTCTTTGAACAGGAAAGAGACCTCTTGTATATTGTTTTTGTGAAAATCTAAATTGTTTATAAAACTAATTTTTGCATAAAAACTCGTGTATATTTGTGATAAATTTACCCTGTTAGTTTCTATTAAATTGAATTAATACCACAAAAATTATCTCAAACGGAGGGTAAAATAGAATGTCAATCGAGCGTTTAACAAAATAATTTAAAATTTAACGGAAATAAAGAGGTAAATTTATCGCGATGTAGTTTGAGATTTTAGTGATCTTCATATATTTGAGATTTTGATTAAATTTTCACGGTATGAACCAGGAATAGACTTATTCCAAACTTTGAAGTCTTTCAACAGGAAGAGACCTCTCGTTTATAAAAGGCATCGTCATTCGCAGATGTCTCTAGTAATAAGAGGCACTAGTTGCCCCTCGAAACGCCTGACCTTTGCTTGCACACAACTCAATGGTCCTACCTGGTCGGATAATCCCTTCTTGTTTCCCCGCTCCTCTTCCGTGCCTCCTCCTCCTCCTCCTCCTCCTCCTACTACTTCCGCCACCAACTATCGCTGAACTCTGGAATAAACCATCATCGGTCAGTGTTCCCGCCTCATGGCCCGCCAGGAAACCTTACCACTCCTATTCAAACAAGGTCGGTATCAAGATCATGCTTTACAGGCTGAACTCAGGACCAAGTTTCTTTGTTGCCTTCATATGCTTTGATAGCAGTCGCTGCAATTTTGGCCTGTTTATTTTCCAACCGACACACGCCATGGGACATGCAAGGACAGTTTGGTCGGTTAATCGGGAATACATGAACGACACTGCCCAAATGCTACTCACCCAGGAGGGCGACTTGGTTTTACTGGGTGACGATGGAAAAAAAGTCTGGTCCACAAATACAGCTGGTAAGTCAGTCGTAGGCTTAAACTTGACTGAAGTTGGAAATCTCGTGCTCTACGACAGAAATGACGCCATCGTTTGGCAGTCTTTCGATCACCCTGCAGACGCAATTATTCCTGGACAGGTGCTACGTCCCGGCATGAAACTAACAGCGACATCAAGTGCGCCGGATGGGACAGCGCAGGTCTACACGTTCACCGCTGATCATCAGATAGGCTTTGTCGCATCTGTAAGGGCAGCCTATTCTCCCCAAATTTACTACAGAACGAGCAATGTAAGCAAAATGAAGAGCGACAATGGACAGGTTGAAGCACTTTACAAGAATGGAACCTTCGGTGAGTTTGAATTGCCCCCAACATCCTTGGCTCAGTTTATCCGTCTGGGGGAGGATGGGCATTTGAAGCATCATGTTTATGTTGAATACTACAATGATTGGAACCCGACGGATCTTCTTGAGAATCAAATTCGAAATTGCGATTATCCACTTGTATGTGGTAGATATGGCATTTGTTCATTTGACTCTGATTGCGTGTGTCCAAGCGAGACAAAGCAAATTGAAGAGAGGAATCCGTCTTCCGGCTGCAAACCCATCTCACCTATCTCTTGTGATTCACTCAATAACATTTTCAAAGTTGTTGAGAATGTCACCTTCTTTGCTTTGTGGAACGATTATATTAGCGCAAACATCTCAAACACAACTGCAGAGAGTTGCAAGGAGGAGTGTTTGAGGAAAGGGTGCTCATGCACAATGGCACTATTTCGTAACCAAACCATTTTCTCTGGTGGGGACTGCTATTTATTATCAGAGCCATTTTCCCTTATGGACGACCCTACCGGGTCCTATTCCACCTTAGCATTTATCAAAGTCAACAATAGTACAAACAGATTGATGCCATCATCAATCTTTCGAAGAACGAGAAGGGGACGAACAGTGTTAATCCTAGGGACTACTGTTGGAGCAGTTTCAATATTCTTAGTAAGCGTATTTGGGATTATTTCAAGTAAGGTGAGAAGAAAAGATGTCGAAGATGATGATCCAGACTTAACAAGGCTTCCCATAACTAAATTCCCTTATAGGGACTTGAAGTCCATGACAGGAGATTTCAACATCAAGCTCGGGGAAGGAGGATTTGGCTCGGTGTTTCTAGGAACTTTACCCAGCGGTGTTAGGATTGCAGTCAAGCGCCTTAATAGTTTTGGTCAAATAAAGAAGTCATTCTTGGCCGAGGCCGGAACCATTGGCACTATCCATCATGTCAATCTGGTAAGACTACTTGGATTGTGTGCTGAAAAATCACATAGGCTTTTAGTCTACGAGTACATGTGCAATGGTTCTCTTGATAAGTGGATCTTCCATAATGATCAAGAGTTTGACATCTGTTGGCAAGTGAGGAGAAAGATTATCCTCGACATTGCCAAAGGACTAGCCTATCTCCATGAGGAATGCCATCAAAAAATAATTCACTTAGACATCAAACCCCAAAATATACTTTTGGATGAACATTTCAATGCAAAGCTTGCTGATTTTGGGTTGTCGAAACTAATTGATAAGGACCAAAGCCATGTCATGACGACCATGCGAGGAACACCAGGTTATCTTGCTCCAGAGTGGTTAAGCTCCGTTATCACGGAAAAGGTAGACGTGTACAGTTTTGGCATTGTGATGTTAGAAGTGCTATGTGGGAGGAAAAACGTGGACCGCTCTTTGCCGAGTGATGAAGTGCATATGTTGACCCTTTTCAAGTGCAAAGCAGAACAAGAACAACTACTGGACATGGTAGATAAGTCCAATGGTGACATGCAACTACACGGCCAAGAAGCTGTCAAGATGATGAAAATCGCAGCATGGTGTTTGCAAGATGATAGTAGCAAGAGGCCCCCCATGTCGCAAGTGGCTAAATGCTTGGAGGGCGCAGCTGATATAGAAGATGGATTGACATACAGCTTCTCAGGTCCTTCCGGTCACAGCGATCATGGTGTTGATGATGCTACTCGGCTATTGCCCTCACAGTTATCAGGTCCTAGGTGAACAAAACTAGCTTTGGACATAAACTCCGATGCTTTGATGGGGTGACTTCTTTTGGCGTTTCTGCCATATAAATTTGTTGTCTAGTAGTCGTACTTATGATCCAATAATTTTAATGAAATTCCAAGTCGCTTGTCATTTTCGTTTAATTGATTGAAAGGTCCTGGTACAAACAAAGATTCCAACCATAAATCAGTTTGCTGTAGACAATGCTTGATTCCATTACTCTTTCTCGTTGCGATCCAAACACAGAATGGACATCAAGGCAACCTTTCTTTTAAGATTCCTTTTGTAAATCACCATACTGTTTCTTGATGTCATGACTACAGTGTATGATTTTTCTCATTTCCAAACAAAGGAGCAGGTTGACACACAAGGCACTGTGTCCCGTTTGAAGTGTTTCTAGGCCTCATTCATATCAAAGATAGCACAATATTAATCAGAGACGTAAACTGCAAGTTTTTCCATACCAACCCCAATAAACTAACATACTGTCGAATAAGCAAAACATTCCTCTAAAAGAAAGAAAGATCCTCTATCTCTAAATCAAGATGTGCAATGCATCTGAAACACCCAACTTCAGAGATGTACCACATTAATAATTTCAAATCCAGAAGAAAAATAGGCAAATTTGGCTAGAATGATGTATGTAAGTTTCCCAGAAGGAAGGGCTTTTCCAGAGGGAAGATGATTTTGCTCTCGGTTGGAGAGAGGAATGAAGATCATCCTGAGCTTAGAGTGGCTGAATTACAACTACGGGAACTACATCATTAGACCATTAGAAAAGAACTACGGGCAACATACAAGATGAAGATTAAAGCACAGCATGGAGCACATTGTTACTCAGGGGATCATAAGAAACCATCAGACATAGTAAAAAAATCTGAACAGTTGTTAACGAGGAGTTGTCAAGGGCTGAGATTGACTCGTGGAGTTGTTATATGAGCTTGTGCCTTCAGAGTATACGTTATGCAGACGATGACAGAAGTAACCAAGTGGAGATAACGAAACTCATTACCTTCGACAAGAAATGAGTATGTTTGGTGCAAGGCACTAGTAAAAAAGTCAGTGAAGTTTCAGTCAACGGAGCTCAGAACATAATAAGGGATCCGTCCTGCCAAGAACGGAATCGGTCTGAGTTTGGAGTTTATGGTTTAACAATCAGGGAGACACCCAATCATGCAAAAACACATTCGAACTCTTGGAGATGTTACTGTTGCTCTAGTCATAGCATGTGTATCAAAAGAGACATTTTAATCATCTTCTCAAGCAAAATATCAACAATTAAGTGAAGACATCACAGAGATGGGAAGACCTTTGAGTTAAGAAAAATGCCTTAACTTGCATCCATCTACTCTCAAGCCAAGGAGGAGGTTCCTGAATAAGCCGCGACGACGGCAAGGTTGCCGACGACACTAACACTAGAATTGATTCTTTACTTCATATTGGCTGCATCTTCTTTATCTTCAAAGCACCAGCTACACCTGAGGAAGAAAAAAAGCAGAGCATCAAAATGGCGGAGGCAAACAGAGTCACTTGGCTCTTTTGAACCAGACACAGACATAAAGTTGACAATGGCAAAAGCAAATACTACGTACTTATTCCCCCGAGCTTATATCCATCGCATTCGGACACGGCTTCTAATCCAAAAGCTATAAAATTTCGCGAGCACAAATGTGAAGTGAGCAAGCAAAGGATCATCAGAGTCGGCCGTGAACGAGGGTCGGCCGACGCCAGGAGAGGCAGCGCAGGTAATTTTGCTCCGGCGCTGGACCATGACTCGCCTCCCCAGGACTACTTCTTTGATGTTGCTCCTCCGACTCCGACTGTGCTTCCACGTGCTGTTTCGTACCGAAGGACTCCACCAGTAAGTACGCAACGATGGGATATGTCGGCTTGGGTAGCGTAGAATGTGGTGATTTTAAGCCACACGCAACAATTGTTTGATTAAATGCCTGAGAGACACTCGGAGATGAGTAAAACGAGTACGCGCTCTTACTATTCATTGTTTTTGTTTGCAAGATGATTTTAGTTAGAGGCCTTCCATGTCTGCAGTGGCTAAATGCTTGGAGGGATTGGTTAGTATAGGTAGCTCAAGTTATAGCTTCTGAGTTCCTTCCAGCCGCAGCAAGCAGACTGTGGACGAAATTACTTAGCTATCAGCCTTGCAATTGTCGGGTCCTAGGTGAAGAAAACTAGCTTCTAATATAAGCACTGATGCTTCGATGGAGAGACCCCTTTGATAGTACTCAAGTTTCTCAGTTCGTTTGGATCACACAATCACATTGTCGATCAATTTACCGAGCTAGCCTCCCAATCATCAGGTCCTGGATGAACAGAACCAGTTTCACTCATAAGCTCTGCGCATTAATTCTTTAAGAGCTCTCATTGCATTATTAAACCTTTGGTATCAAGTCTCACTGTCAGATAATGATATCGATGGGGTAAATGAGTTTCATTTCCAAACAGTGGAGCTGACATAATCTCAAAGGAAAAGAGGATGATGAACCATCGTCAAACAAGTGCTTCTGGAAGAACTACCTGAGACCTACCTGAGCTGTTCAGTTCATCAGCTACTAAAGCAGGCTGTGAAGAACCTGCAAAAATTGCAAACTAAGTGCTTCTGGAAGAACTTAATGGCCAACAATCAACACAAAAGAGTTGTGACATTTTCTCCAATTCAGTATAGAGATAAAGAGGTGATTGATTTTGCCTTTTGACCGTAGAAGAATCACTGTCGCCCCGTAGGTCATGATCATACAAAATTTTGTGATACGACAGACATTGACTCGAACGTTTTAGGTCAATATATTTTTTCATCAGGATAAAACCCAACGTTAGTGAAAAGTATGTACATCTCGAAACATGGAATTCCTGATAAGACATGACCTATAGACTATATAAACCAAGATTATCATCTGGGACAACTTTTCTTGATACACGACATCGATGTATGTAGTGAGGAGAAAGCAAGAAAGGATGAGTGAAGTCATATCGAGCCAGCAGCACCATGTCTAGTTAATCAACTATATAAAAGAAAAAGAAAAAAGAACACCATTCAAAGCCTAAAGGTTGAGAAATGGCAGCATTACATCGCGAGTCTCTAACACATCTCTCGTTACGGTTTCTTAAATCCTTTTTAAGTAATGGAAACGGTGGTCATCGGTGAACCCCCTTCTCTCAACAGAAAGTAAGTACACCGAATATCCATAACAAAAATCTATATAAAATACAATCAAGAGCTAAAACTTATTGTTCCTACAGTAAAGTTTTAGAGTTTCTGCTTAAAGATCAATCAAGTCATTCGCTTCGTTAATAAAATTGCCGGAAATCTCACGGGGCAATACCACGCAATGTCAATTGTCATGTATGGGGATGCCTTACATTCACGACAAAAGGGCACATTAAATGTTTTCAATACAATTAATTCTTTTTTTATTCTATAGACTCAATATTTGGAAGTTGAACTAGTTCATATGAAACTTGTTAAGATGGCCATGGCCCACTTACGTAAATGGAGAAATTTTATCACTCAATTGATCTTGTATTCGCTTGATTTCACAATCTTTTCCGCGAGTAATTCACCCACTGATGTTTATATAGTTAATATTGGCAAAACTTCACTTTAGTTTAGTATTCTACTTCGGCATATTTTACCCAAAACTTACAAGTTTAGCATAACGATTGAAGAAAATGCTTGGATTATATAGACTTACGAGTGTTCTTTCTAAATCTAAAATAAGCTATTCATCGATTGAGAAAACATGTTCATTACATGCAAAACAAAGTTAGTCCTTAACCTCACCGACACGTTTGGTTGACTAGCCGATGGTGAGTGTTTCAGTCCAAATCAGGATAGCCGACCATCTTTGACTATAATCAAAAAGATATTCATGGAGATGGAGCTGGTCTGAGGTAAATAGTAGAGTTGACGGAACAAAGGAGCCGGACAAGACTTACCAGTGATTTTCATTTTGCCAATGGATGAAGTTGTTGAAGGAAAATGGAAAAGAATTCTAGTTTCTTTAATTTAACTAGCATTCTCTTTTACCATACTCAGTAATGCCTATTAATGTTCATGATGCAAATAGAGTACTTATTCATTTGAACTCACAAATTTACCAATGAATAACTTGAAATACGACATCATATTTCCAACGTTCCTCTGTGTTTTTTTTTTAATCTGCGCGCATCACGTGTGCCTAAGCAGCTTAGTTTGTACAGAGAAAACATATTGGAAGTGGAATCAATCAAACCAGAGCGGTTTCTGCAATTTCTATCAGTATGGTTACTGCAATAGACCCAAAAAGAGGTCCTCTAAAATGTGTTACTGTGCCTGCGTGGTCTGCGACCGTATCCCAAAGCTCCATGTTTCCTACCGTCATTTTCTCTATATAAGAATTGGATTAGATTGCGCGGCAGCTATACAGGCACTTGATAAGAAGGGGCTCATCATATTCCCTATTGGGGGAATAGTCAATACTCCAGTAGTGCGAACTTAACAAAAAGCAATCTGCAGCAGCTTCCTTGAATGAACCCTTTCATATTCCGTGGACCAAAGTGTTTGTTATTGACTCGTGAACTGTAAGAATTGACGTCAAAGGAGGGGAAAAAACAAAATGACAAAAAAAAGAAAAGACAAAAAAGATGTAGAAAGGAGTGGAAGACTTGCTTAGTCTTGGTCAATAAAGGAGGGGACAGCAAAAATGACAGGAGAAGAAGAGAAGAAAGAGAGAGATAAGTCTTATACTCATTTCTATTTTTTTTCTTTTTGCTTTTTCCCCTCCTTTGATGTCAATTCTTATGTTCCACCCTCCTTAAAAATAAATTTTGTTCTCAAAATTTACGAAATTTGAACTTATTTCAACTTTTAAATAAATGTTGGTATTTGCATCTTGCTTGCTTTCTCAAGCTCCCAAGTAGCCTCTCTCTCCGTGTGATTTTGCCATTGGATTATGGAATAGTTTGCCGTCGCAATACCTAATCCTTCTTATCAACTATGTGAATAGGCAGCTCTTCGTAAGTCAAATTCTCCTTTTAAGGTGTAAAATGAACCATCTCAATTGAAGATAAGGATTAAGAGAGATTCTCGAGGTCTGAGGCAGGAATAGGCTAAAGTCCAGACGTCAAAGTCTTTCTACAGGAAAGACACCTCTTATTTGCACGAGGCGTATCACCCTCGGATGTCTCGTAAAGAGGCATTCCTTCTTCTGGTTGCCACCTGACCTTACCTGCACACAACTCAATGGTCTT